CTCCTGGCCACCACAGGTTACAAAAAAGTTGCCCTAATTGTGGACCTACGACTCCTGGGAGACCGGAAGGACCTAAAGTTTATTCCGCATGTATTTATAAATTAGTTAAAAACAAATTTCTGTGGGAACTTGTTTGAACCTGATGGGGAATATGTGAGTGACACAGTTGGGGTAGTTTTTCAACACGTTCAGGAGCAATTAATTGTTTTATACAAATGCTAGCCTTTTAAATTTTCTACCTTTTATGTTTGCAGCGTTCTTTTTTACGGCGTTTTCAAAATATTTCAAAACTTAAGAAATAGTAAGAGTTATAAGGCGTTGCCACTGAATTTGCAAAATATTGACCTCTTTCGGATCCATTCAACCTGTCGCTTCTGGAAAACAGTAACGGCAGTAATAAAACCTTCTTGCACACGCCTAAGTCCAACCAGGTAAAGCTTTAATCCAGATTAGAATCTAAGTATCGGTATTTCCTGACACGGCATATATAAAGAATTATTTAGCCCTGTGGGAAGCGTCATAAAAATATTACTTCTTTAACTGGGCGCCAAAAGAACAAAGGGTTGTTTGTAGTCAGTACCTAGGTAATATTTCATAGAAATTTGTATGATTCATTTTAGCACTCGAATTTATAAAATGTTTATAATTTATGCAAGGCGTCTTCTAACACACCTCCTATGTACCATTGAAAAACACACCGATGATATGGATGATCTGATGACATCAATTGCTTTGTTGTACCCACAAACAAAACTCCTAACTGTTGATATTGCAAGAAGCAACTACTTACACCAGCAATAATATACAGGGTGATTTTTAAGTTGATACTTTCCTTTTAACACTGTATAGAATGCAAGAAAATAAGAAAATTTTTCAAATAAAATTATGTCCGAAAATGCTTCGTTTCCGAGATACAGGGTGTTAAAGTTTTAAGGAAAAAATGCCTTTTTTATCATAACTTTCCTACCACTCCAGATATTTCCACAAAATTTGGTACACTTCTTTTGACCATTAAATTACATTTTTTGATGTAAAAGTTTTCAAAAAATTTCTACCAGTGGCGTTCGAACAGGATTTGTATTGAACTGTTTTAAAGAAAAAAAAAGTACGCCACTGCTTTTTCTTAAAATCAATATTATGTTTGTAATACTGATTTACTTTGGAGTTAATTTGGTCTCTTGATATTTGTTCATACGACGAACGGTTTTCGTTTAAAGAAATAAAAGCCATTTTGATGCATGGCAAAATCGCTAAAATCTGATATGGTGTTTTGTATGTAAAATTCGTTTTTGACTAATTTGTATTGTATGTACCAGTGGCGTTAGGTTTTTGACTGTGTAAGAGGTTCCTAAAAGAAACAGCTTTTTTATGTAACTTTTTATTTATTAACTGTAAACCAAACGAGATACGTACACATTTCTGTTAGTAAGAAAGATGCAATACCTATGTCCTAAGTTAAATTAAATGTTCGAAGTTGGCACCATTTTCTGTTATGTAACACTGTGCACTGTTGTGTGACGGCGCGTAGCAACGAAATTGGTTTCCCTCTTATTGTTGCTGCAGCCTGTTCTATGCGAACAATTATTTCCTCCCGTGTGTTTACAGGCGTTTTAAAAACTAAACTCTTCATGTAACCCCATAAAAAGAAATCACATGGAGTGAGGTCTGGGGATCGAGGTGGCCACGCAACTGGTCCATTTCTACCAATCCATCTATTGAGAAAAGTATTATCTAAGAATTCCCTCACATCCCATCTAAAATGAGGAGGAGCCCCATCTTGCAAAAGCCACATGTTTTGCCTGACATTAATTGGTACTTCTTCTAAGAGATTAGGCAGATGATTTTGCTAAAAGTTTAGATATTCTTCGCCCGTTAAACGGTCAGGTAAGATGTGGAGCCCAATGAGTATTCCATTCACAATGCCTGCCCATACAATTAGAGAAAATCCGTGTTGAAAATTTGTCCTCTTAATAGCATGGGGATTATCAATAGCCCATACATGAGTATTTCGGAAATTATTGATTCCATTGCCTCGTCCACAGAAACAATTCTTCTAGAAAAATTTTGATCAGCTGCTTGGTTCTGTAGGAGCCATTCACAGAACTGGACTCTGCGGGGATGGTCTTCAGGTAGTGGCGCTTGTACGCGTTGAACATGAAACGGATATAGCTGATTTTCCCGCAGTGTTTTCCATACTTTTGATTGACTTAATTCGACCTCATCTGCAATATCTCGAGTAGGTACTTCTTGATGGGTCTTCATCGATAATATTTAAAATTTGTTGTTCTTTCTGCACATTGTCAGGGTGTCTCGATCTTCCTGCATGTCCCCCACGATGTTCCCTTAAATCACCTGTTTCTCTTGCCCTCCGAACAACATTAGTAATAGTACGGGGTGTAGGATGGACTCTTAAGGGAAAGCGTTCCGCGTATAGCCGCGAAGCTGCAGCCGCATTGTGATGACACTCCCCGTAACTTAGCAGCATATCCACAAGTTAATTATTCTCATAAGTATGAGCCATTTTCACAATCAAAATAGTCGCAAACTAATAAAATCACGTCCGAAAGGTATGACACAAGTGATCGACAAGAAATTGACAACCCATTGCTTGACATAAAAACCTAAACATAAACATACTTTTAACCGATATTTTTTTGCAGGTGGTTCAGTTTTTGGATCCTTTTTTTTTCAGGTACTTAAATCAAGCGATTTGAAAATGTTGCTTCTTTTATTGAAAATAATACCTACTGATACATTTTTTTCATTACATTTGAATTGTAGTAATGTAAGTAATTGGCCTTACTTTAATACAAATTAGTCAAAAACGAATTTTACATACAAAACACCATATCTGATTTTAGCGATTTTGCCATGCATCAAAATGGCTTTTATTTCTTTAAGAAAAGGCAGTGGCGTACTTTTTTTTTCTTTAAAACAATTCAATACAAATCCTGTTCGAACGCCACTGGTAGAAATTTTTTGAAAACTTTTACATCAAAAAATGTAATTTAATGGTCAAAAGAAGTGTACCAAATTTTGTGGAAATAACTGGAGTGGTAGGAAAGTTATGATAAAAAAGGAATTTTTTCCTTAAAACTTTAACACCCTGTATCTCGGAAACGAAGCATTTTCGGACATAATTTTATTTGAAAAATTTTCTTATTTTCTTGCATTCTATACAGTGTTAAAAGGAAAGTATCAACTTAAAAATCACCCTGATACAGGGTGCCCCGAAATTAGGGGGTAATATTTTATATTTCTACAGGGTGTTGTATGTCGAAAAAGATTACTTTTTCTTTATATAAACGTAGGTCTATAAATTCTTCCTAAGGAAGTTATAGCCACTTAAAGGGGCCACTCTGATGATGGTTTTTTCTAAATAACTTCGAAACAAGTTGAGATAAATTTATAAAATTTGGTAGTAACTATCGTAACTCTTACGTGCCCAATCTGCTACTAACACGAAATTTACAAATTTTCATAACATACTGGCGGGAGGGGGGTAAAAATTTTTAATAAAAAAAAGGTACTCTTGGTCCATACTGGTAGAATGTTCAATTTTTGTGTAAAATCTCTTTAAAAATAATGTTACATGTGATAATCACCGGGAATCAAAATTGTCATTTTCTATCGTAGCGGGTTGTGAAGAACAAAAACGCGTTTGGCATCCTAAAGTAATCTAGAGGATTTAGGTCTAGATATCGAGGTGGCCAAAGAATGGAGCCACTTCTACCTATCCACCTGCCAGGAAAATATCATTTAATAGTTCTCTTACATCATTTTGCAGAAAGTTTAAGAATCCTTCTGCATTCAGTCAAACGGGAAAGTGAATTGGTCCAAGTAGCTAGCCCCCAAAAATTTCTGTCCAAACATTTATTGCAAATCTATTTTTAAAATTTGTGCGCCGTATTGCACGTTGATTTTCGTTCGTCTGACCAGAAATGGGTATTATGAATAACTGCGCTATAGCTCTACATTCGTAAAATGTTGCATTTTCGACGGATAACAATTCGTAAAGAGTAAATAACTGAACTGTCAATGCAAATGACGCCAAACGCATTCTCGTTATTAAAAACCTGTGACGATAAAAAATATTGACAATTTTTTCTACATTCTGCCACTCTGAACCAAGAGTACCTTTTTTACTAAAAAACTCTGAAATTTCATACTTTTCAGTCAAAAAAGTAAAAGCATAAAAGAGTTATGGAAGAAATGAAGAGTTTTCCAAAATCAAAATTGACATATGTCTAATTGTTAGTAAAAGAACAATTCACATTAATCTAAGGTTATTACCTTTAAAATAGGATGAAAACTACAAGAGCTGATAACAGAATATATGTTTTTTTTTTTAATTTTAGAATTTATTTTAAATAGATTAGTTTCTTTATGATAAAGTAAAAAATGAAATTTTTACTATTTGCAAACTAACAGATAGATATATCAAATCTTATGAAAGGTTCTTTTCAACAAATAAGTCCAATTCATGTAAGTTTCGTTTTTTTTTTTCTGAAATAGAAATAATTTAATACCAATGCAATTGCTATGGTCAGATCGACCATGTTCTTTTACCTACCCTTGAATGTTTAATTTGACGTAAATCGAACAACTCGTGCCAGTATAATAGTCACATTAGATTTAAAAACACCCTGTGGATATAAAACATATTTAAATAATATCATATATGTTGATACTTTAGTTCGGTATTTTAATATTTCATTGTAAAGATTGTGAATACATTGGTAACGAAAGGTTAGCAAATTTTTTGTAAAATCATCATTTTCGTAAAATCGTTTTCGTTTTATTTCATGTCAAAGAAATAATTTAATTCAATAGTTCTAATTTTCACTTCTTTATGTAGATAGAGGTTTTTTTCAACTTACTTATTTAACTTAAAAAACAAGATTGTAACTTGTGAAAAAGTTGCAAGCAAAAAAAGGCTCTGAGTGAATGACGCATTCTCTCTCTTCAAAGTAGATCATTGATTCTCATTTACCGTGTAGCAAGTAGCAACCCAGTGTGTGTTTATGTGACGTGCAATAACTTATTATGTACTTGTGCGTGAGGTACGTAACCTTATTTTTTTTGAGAACTTTGTAACTGTTTGACAATTAGATAAACTTTGTAATGACAAGTTATTATAATGATGCCGTGTAAATGTTCTACAGTGTATGACTATAGTCAATCTAATTTCACAAAGAAAAACAAACATCTTGTTATTTCCAACGTTTTAATATTTATTTAATTGCGATATTTCTAGGAACAATTCCGCGTATTTTGCTCCTAAAAAGCGTGTATCATTGATTTATATTTTTTACACTGAATATATTTCTTTATTTGAAATGTGTCGTCATAGATACAGAATTAGAATAAAAAACAACTTATTTTTTACGAACGCTGCCCGTGATAAACACCCATTAAAAATAGACTAAACAATTCCGTGCATCGTAATTTCATATTCATGTTTGTTTATATTTTTTATTATTCTAACTTCCTGACCTGTGACCCACAAGCTGTTTTTTTGCCTCTATATAATATAAAATTACCGAAAAATATGTTATGCGGAATATAGATTGTTTTTCAATGGTACGGGAAAAACTGGCGGTTTTTTAACTACAGATTACTTAGAAAAAGCGAAGACAAATGTTTTTATTATGTTTATTTTACAATCGTAAATCTGTTCGATAACCAGAAATAATTAATTCGAGAACTGGGATGTTTTCACAATACGCTTTCCGATAAATACTTCGGGATTCCTAAAAAAACACGAACGTGAGATATTTTTAAATTATATTTTATGAATATTACAGAAATGTGTGAATAAACAATGGTTTCTGGATTTGGAATTGAAAATTAGTCATGTTACTAAATCGAGGAGATTGAAAATTCATCTAGGGAAAAGTTAGATACAATGACACCAGCACCACTGACAATAGGTATACAGATAAAGTGGCTTTTATGAGGAAATGTTATTTGATTAAGATAAATGTACCTAGGTACTTTTTTGTAAAAACATTGTTAGATACCAAACAGATTTTATTTTTATACAGGGTGAATCATTAAGAATCGGCAGTCTCTAAACTGGAGATATTACACACCAAAATGTAACAAATACAAATGTTGGAAGTTTACGAGATACAGGATGTTCATTTTAATTTGAAATTTCTCAATAATTTTGGAATTTTTATCAGAATCAACTCGAAAATTTCGAATTTGATGCTGAATTTGTCACTATCTGTACAGGGCATTGTTATCTCATTAAATCACAACACATTTTTTGTCTGATGAACTATGGCTAAAGTGAGATTAAAATCTAAAAGGCAGTTCAATTTTGCTTAGAAAAGATACTCTTGTTAAATTCATCTAACACTATCGGTTTTTGAGTTATTTGCATGTTAAACGCTCATTGTATTTTGCTTTTACAAAATTTGTAGGTATTCTTTTAAATGAAGTATGCGGGATAACAATAACAAAGACACCAAATAACAATCAGTAACAGTAATAAAAGAAAACTCAGTACACTTTGCAATACGCTTTCTTAAAAATCTTTGGGTGTTAAATAAAATTTGTCAATTATTATTTTAATCGCATTCACGGTTTCTTGAACTGTCGTAACTCCCCAATTGAATTATTTCTTCTTTGTAAACCATTTCCTTCATTTGTGACCGTATTGAGAAGTCCAGAGGGTTTAAATCTGGACTTCTTCGGTGGCCAAGCAAATTTACCTCCACGGCCGATCAGGAGAAGGTATTGGCACACTGACAGTAAAATGTGGTTGTATTACGGCTAGTGGTACATCTTCTAGTAGTGTGTTCAAATTTTGGGCAAGAAAGTTCAAATAGAGAGGTCCATTCAGATTAGGAGGGAGTTCAAAAGGACCAATAAAAAACCAGATATCACACCACACCAAACGTTTACCTTGAATTCTTGCTGAAAACGTCTTTCCCTTAGAGCAGCGGTATTCAAACTCTGTTCCGCGGTTCCCCACAACCTCTCTGGGGGTTCCGCGAGGTTTAGTTTTCCCTGTTGCCGCACTTAACCGACGAGTATTTTGATCTGAGTTTTCCAAAGTACAAACTAAAACCTCTTCTTCGTCATCGACGTTGATAGTTTTTGTGACTTTCAGGATGAAAACACTCTGTTTCGCCTAGGCGAAATTTATTCCTGAACGTTTTTGATTGGGTTGTCTTCAATTTGGGTATAATAATTCTAAATACCTTCTGTTTGCACCAAGTCCACTGAAATTTGACTGAGCAAAACAAAATCATATTACGCATTTCACTGTTGCAAAAATCACTATGTCGTGGCATTGTTTGATATTAGAATTTTTGCTACAAATAATTACTAAATTAGAAAAAGAAGGATAACCTAACAAAACACTCTTATTAACTTAACGCAAAATTGTCAAGTATTTATTGACACGAAAAAGTAACATGTGATTACAGAAGCCTACTTGAAAAGTCAGAGCAATAACGGTAACTAAGGCGATTTTACATTGAAGGTTTAAAATGCAAATAACTCAAAAACCGATAGAGTTAGATTTTTTAAAAAATAGAACTGTTTCTATGTAAAATTGAACTGCCTTTGAGATTTTTAATTCACTATACTCATGCATTAGACAAAAAAAATGTGTTGTGATTTACTGAAGTAACAGCATGTAACCAACGCCCTGTACAGATACTGACAAATTCAGCAACAAATTCGTAATTTTTATACCAAAAAACATAAATCTACCAATTTTCGAATTGATACTGCTGAAAATTCCAAAATTACTGCGAAGTTTTCAATTAAAAACACCCTGTATCTCGTATTTGTATATTTTATATTTTGATGTGTAGTGTCTCCAGTTTAAGGATTGTCCATTCTTAATGAATCACCCTGTATGAGTGTAATACTGATTGTTGCTATCAAATTAAAAAAGATGAAGGACATAACCTTGTGGATTTTTTTAGAACCAAAATATTAGTGCCAAAACAAATTCATATCGCCACGTAATTAAAAATATAAAATTAAATATTACATCTCTTATCATCAGTTAACATCTCTAACTAAATTTGTTTTCGTAAATCGTCCTTCGTCTAATCCGACAACCAAATATTGAGCTTATCATTTCATATTTGTTCAAATTAGACAAGGCGAAAACCTCGCATTCGTGGGAAAAATTTTCTGGCTCGATTTTTTTGCATATTCAGATTTGTGAGATGTTCCTTAACATGAATCAAGCTGATGCCGGCCGGAAATCTGGTGCCCATTTGTTTAAACAAACTTTTTTTAAACAAATTGTAAAAATTGTTTTTTTCACTCCGGGGTTAAAAATTATTATTTTTGATGTTGCCAGGTACCTAAATTAGAGTTTAAACATCTCCCTACAAGATGCTGAAGAGTTTTTGGGACTCTCATTATTTTAAAGCCTTGTTTTTTAATTAGTAATACATAAATTTATTACCAAAGATCCAGTACCCAAAGACTTAGTTAAACAATGTAAATGTACAAAAAACTGTAAGACTTGTTCTTGTAGGAAGAACTATGTCACTTATGTACCTTTATGTGGTTGTAACATAGAAAAGTGTGGGAATTCTTATGATTGAATAAATGAGTGATAATAATAATATTATGCAGTACCTATTAAATAAATGTTCTTTAATAAAAATCACATGTATTTGATAGCCCTTTTATTTTTTTTCTGTACCCTATTCGTACAATTTTGAATTAATTAAATAAAATTATTATGAATTATGACTATTTAAATAATCAATTTTTACATTATTTTATGAGTAGTAATAGTACTTAGAATGCTAAATTCAAAGAACCCAAGACGAAATAGCGAATCCTCGTACGAGAGGCGCGCGTGCGGCTCATAGCACTTTATCAACAATTAAAAAACAAGGCTTTAGAATAATGCGAGTCCTAAAAACTCTTCAGCATCTTGTAGGGGGATGTTTAAACTTTAATTTAGAAACCTGGCAACATCAAAAATAATAATTTTTAACCCGGAAATCGGCCGTTCAAAATCGTCATTTTCGCATTTTTAGCAACATAAATTGTTTATAACTTTAAAACTGTCTATTTTAGAGGCATAGTGCATAGGAACTTTTTTGTTTATAATGTGCCAAAAAACCAACAGGAGTAAAAAAAACAATTTTTACAATTTGTTTAAAAAGAGTTTGTTTAAACAAATGGGCACCAGATTTCCGGCCGGCATAATCTCACGAATCTGAATATGGCAAAAAAATTGAGTCGGAAAATTTCTCCCACGAATGCGAAGTTTTCGCCTTGTCTAAATTTCTAAATACTATTTTTAATGTTAAACTTCCTCTCAAAAAAAAAAAAAAGATTAACGGACAGCTCCTCACTGTACCGATACCGATCTCGACGGAGCACATAAAGGCAGATAAACTGAAAAGAACGCATCAATTACGACGTGAATTGAACTCACCTGACGTTTTGCACCTTTCAGTTCACATTAATCTAAATGGCACAACAGGTACCGCACAAAAAACGCTTTTCCTGTTTTTTTAACTGCCAACAGAATTCCCCATAACTCAGCGCTATTCAAGTCGGAATCGCTGCCTTCTAAAAATGGTACGTGGTCCTGTTTTAGGGGTGGGAATCTATAATAAAAAATGACTCCAAAACGATCACCCCAATGAGTGTCTTACTAAACGGTAACACGCCGCAAAAAAGCAGGTCAGATTTTGGTCCCTAAATCTTTTTAAGGGCACCTTCTGTGCCAAGTGAAAATAGATGGATTATGGGGCATCGTAAAAAAAGGTGGCAAATATAATGGAATATCTTGCGAATTGAATATAAAGAGGTTAAAAACGACAGGGCGCAGTGAAGTTCTGAAAGATGGTGCCGTAAAAAAATTATCTGCGGTTTTTTTGCGGTTTACCCTCAATTACTTCAGATAAGGTTGTTTGTCAGATCTCTTTGTGCTTGTTTTGGCATAATATTTACATACGTTCCGCTGATAGAGACGATTTTTAAGAAACAAAAAGCGTCCTACATATTTCAAATGAAATTAATTTTTTTATTGTTTATTTCAGTACGTTATAATTGCAACATT